ATATAATATGAACAATATACACCCCACACAATATGGTCGTCGAACTGTGAACATACCATTATGCTATAATAATATTATATACCTAGGTACAATGCGGTGTTATACGCGTCCTCGATTTTTTTTTTCGTTTATTTTGTTAGTTTATATTTTATCTAAAATCGTGCTCATTCTCGTTTTGATTTATAGCTTTGACGAGTTCCGACGAATCATTGAAGATATGGAACTTTTGGCCGACCAGTAACATCCAAAAAAAATCCAATAATTGCCCTCCACACGCTCACACGAATGCGACTTCCGCGGTTACTTCAGCTCATTTTACGGAAGATGAAGACTTAAGCAACAGCAATTACAGACTTATACACAATCGGAGCTCTCAAAATAGCCAATCAATGATGTCTGAATTATCGTTGGATGCTGCTCGCATAATAAAATAATCGCCGATAAGACGTGCGTTATGTTAAATAATTTACGTCWCGTGGGACGCGACGTGTGTGATAATAATAATTTAGCGTTTATAGAAGTTTTTAAGAGTCAATTAATCGAGAAAAAACTTATAAGAGCCACAAACYAAAAGATTACTATTAAATCTGGTTCAAGGTTAAATGGCCACTTATGRATATCATAATAAATAATAATTTTATCGTTGGTTTTCTTATCTTTTTCTACACATGGATAAATTTATATTACTTCTACGATTTCCGTAATCTTGGATTCTATCTTTCTTTTTATTATTTTTTGTTTTATGCTTTCGTACACTGTAGGTAGTGGGYATATYTTTGAATTTTTCTCAGTTGGTTTGTATAATTATGATTTCAATTTGTATTTTTATATTTTTCTACTACTTATTATTGTTAAACATTTAATTACCATTATCATTAGTATTATTGTGTTATGGGTGGTATTCGAAATTTGCAACTGCTGTACAATTTAATTTTTACACAACGTGCATTGTATATTATATATTACGTATTATTTATTATTATTATTATTATTATATTAAATTTTTACAGTGTAGAATCGCACTAATGGCCATGCAGTTGAACAGTAAAATAAAATATCATGTGGTATTATTCTACCTATACGGCTATATCTTTATTCTTTATCATTATTATTSTTAGAGCTGAAACTAAAACAAGGCTACAAATAAATATTGCTGAACAATTAGTATATAATTATACAGAGTGGTTCATCAATCATGCTCACCAGCTCACCTCTTCAACCAATCCCCGCGYGCCCTTTTATCTTTTAATAACGCACTTATTAAAATTCTGAATTTTTGGAATTTTTATTTGTAACCTATATGTACTAAAAGGTTTAAATTAAAGATTGCTTGGTGAATGATCCTGTATAAATGTATAATCCTGTACTATTACCGTTTCACCACTAAGTCACGATACCACATAATCTTAGTAATGTTATTAATTTAGAGCTAGGATTTTAATGACCTAAAAAATGCACAAAAATGCACTAAAAAAAAATGCAAAAATTATCTAAAAACTCTGAAAAATGACCTAAAAAAATGACCAGAAAATATATTCAGATGAGCGAAAAAAATTTAATTTCAAAATAAATATTATTATCAATTATTATTTATTCATTTTTATA